AAAAAACGCACACACAAACAACATTTACTTTTAAATTATAAATTTTCTTTGTATATATATCGAAACATGTCAGTTTGGCACTTTAACACTGAATGTAGTAAATTTTGTGTGGAAACAGTCCTCCTTTTGATATTGATTAATACGAGTTACTACGAACAGTCATAGAATTAAGCATGAAGATTAATTTTAATATAAAATTTAATGTTCATTTTACGACACGGCTTAAGGCTGTGGAATGATAACATACAAAGTTAATAATTTCATATAATGGTAGGACTAATAACCAATATGACTGGCTGACTGCTAACAGTTCATCAATTCGGCAGGTTAATGTTCTTTTCTTTTCTTAAAGCATGGTGTTAAATATTATGGGAAATCAAGTTATGTGTGTGGAGATTGCGAAAGAAACTGGAGCAAAATGCTGGTTAGTTAGTTAGATCCTTTCCATTTATATGAAAATATCGTAACCGTCCAAGGCGCATCAATTTTTACTGTACTCAGGCCACTACTACATTATCTAATAACTGTATGGTCCATTGTTGTGAATACATTCACTGAGTGACGTGCGCAACAGATCGCTAGTAAAGCTGTGATTAAAGGACCGGAAACGTCAGAAGTGACTCGTGACCATTGGTAACAAAGCTGACATCTTAAAGTCATATTTTCAGCATGCTTGATGTGTACATAGTTAGTTATTTTAGAGACGGGAGTGGAGAAAAAAATATTTTCAATGCATCAAACAAATTGAAGAAAGGATTAGCTAATAATACAATTGTCAATGCAGGCACAATTAGATACATATTGTTTTATAGGGTGATCAACTTACTCGTCATATTTTAGAATATTGGCACAGAAAAAAGAATAAAACTATATATATATATTGCCAAATAAATAGCGCAGAATGAAGATCCGCCCTGCGCATCCATCAAAAAACTAATTAATAAAAATTAAGCATCAACCGAGGGGTTGTTACCCCGGCAGGTATGCATAATACTGAAGAGTAACAAATCAAATGATTACCAACACCTACGGGAATTCCCTTTCAAATGACGCGACGTCAATTTATTTTTTATATGTAGGAAATTGGTCTTATATAGAAATATGTATTTTCATTTGTAATTTGCAAGAGTCCATCTATTTTTATAAAACATTGCAATAAAACTTAAAATGCAATTACCAATTTAAGTATATTATGCAACAAGTGCGGTAAACGGCATTTGACTCATGAGTCTATTTGACACGAGCGAAGCAAGTTTTTAATAAACGAGTAAGTTAAAAAGTTTACCGAACGTGTTGCATATTATACTTTTTCTACGACCGTTAGTTTTTGGGTACATTTGCGCAAAACAACACTAATATATTCACGAATCCGTGCGGTAAAATCCGGGAAATGTCTGAAGTGGCTCGGATTCGTGGTAAAGTGACGTTTCCCGCACGCTAGATCGGTGGGTAATTAGGTATTTTACAGACGGGAGTAGCAAAAATCTTTTTTCAGCACATGCTTTATAACACGAAATATTCAGCAGCGACTTCAATTTTCATATCCCTATTGCTTAAGTAGCTTAATTACAGTCTAACATTTGTATTGCTCTTAAAAAGTGAATCCAAAAAATACAAAATAATACGATACCGCAACCAAATACGTGAGGTAAATATTACAAACGTGTACAACGATAGTACAAGAACCACTAACAAATTACGTTCCAGTTCCAGTCTTTTCCGTTTTTATAGAATAACGACTTTAACAACATTTAATAAACGGACGTTCATAAAATGTCCCCCTCCGTTTGGTCTTTTCAACCCCGACGCCGAAGTCATTATCCGTGCTTTCTTTCGTGAAAAAGGTTGGAGACAGAAAACGCTATATTCTCGACTATTACTGCACATTATCTCCCTTATTCTGATTTCTGTCGCGCAAAGTCCAACGCAAACAAACAACGATTGGCAATTTCCTGGAAAATGGAAACGGCTTTTTCCCATTTCCCTTGTTTTGTGAACAGTTTTAGCACAATTTTGAACGACATAGTTGGGAGGCTTCCGATTGTAACCCCGATTACATTTTCTCCTAGTAGCCATTTTTTTATATTTTTTTATGGTACTTAATTCTTCAGTACCCTTGTCATGGAAAATATTACATACATTATATACAGAGTGTTTAAGGAAATACCGATTTTATACTCAATGTTTATCACATTCTGTGTGCTGTCAACATTATGAGGTTAATTTGATGCGATGTGTAGTTTGGTATCCAGAATTTTGTAGGAAGATACTGTTACACAATATAAGTTGTTGGACTCCTGGTTAATGAGTGGAATATATATTTAATATTTGATTTTGTTAACCCTATTCAAATCCATAAATAAATTACATAAATCCTAAAAAGGTTTTTTTTCTCCCTAGTCTTCTTATTCTTCTTATTTTGAACTTTCGGCCTATTCTTTTGCGATCTTTTTAACTTTTAGCTTAATATAGACTGGCAACTGTCTCGGCAACTTTTGAAAAAAGATTCTGGCAATCTTTTTCCTGTTTTAAATCCCTCACTATTCTTTGCGGGCTCATTTATACTAATACATTTTTTCCGTCATTAAAGTGATTAAAATGGAGTTTATCAAATTTGTTTTAAGATAAATGCGAAAAACTGATTTCCTGTTTAAAATAAATGGTATTACTATTACGAAAACACACTTTCTGTACATTTTTTATTTCTTTTTAAAACTGACTAGACTAGGCTAACCCTATCATTTTTAACGAAATTTAAAGGAAAACTAACGACATGGAAAAAAAAAATTCGATAGACGGGTTTATTAGAAACTTTTTTGTCTCCTGTAATTTTTACATAACATTTACAGCTCCCAAATAAAAGCTGAAATGTAGAACTTTACATGTCGAAAAAACCTATCATTTTAGAAAAATTTTCATTTATCAATTATATTCTAAAAAATTACATTTTCAAAATAATTTTGAAGAAACATTTCTGAAGCTGGTCTGCTCAAGCGTGAAATATAAATAAATACCATCTTTAAAAACATTTTTATTTAAACAATGTAACTTAAATAAAAAGACAACAGATAAATAAAACACTAAGGCAAAACAAAAATAAATTTTTATATTTTTGAAATATGCCTAGATTATTTCGACGACGTACCTATCCTTAGGTTTTAGGTTTAGGTTATCCTTATGTTTTCGATATCCTGTAATTGCGGCTCTTGAGAAACTAGAAACGAGAAGTTTAGAACAAAAAAGAGGATCATCGGAATTCATTCGGCGAAACCATTGGGAAAAAGTCATCGTCGGCTCGAAATATCTTAATATACTAGGAGATTGACGAATTTTGTGGGTTTTTATTTTTTGTTTACACGACGTTTCCGGCAGATGTATCAATTTTGATTCTAAGCCTATGAGGCTTGAGGCTGATATAGTAGACTACAGCGTTCAACCTTGATGGAGTCCAGTGCAGTCAAGTGTGAGGTTGTTCCTCTAAGTCCTCAACATTGGTGAGCTCTTGGTGCGCGATTGTACGTATTTCCATTCTTGGATTGGTAAATATGTTTCCATTGTTATTAATGCATACGGCTTTCTTAAACTTGCGCTGTTTCCAATGGTGGACAAACCGAGCCTCTGACCATTTGATGTGGTGTTGTTTGGTTCATACATGTTGTGTTTCCTATATTCTTCAACTCTAAACTTTACAGATCTTAGAACAAAAAATGTTCAGATTTTCACAGTTTTTGTTCTAATCTAACTTGTATTAAATGGATTTTCATCAAGTAAAAGCCACCACATTCCGATTTTTAAAGATCTTTTTGATGCTCCATTTCCACAGGGTATTTGGTAGACACACTCGTTTTCTTTAGTCGATGTTGCTGGCTATGTTTTTACAGTTTTAACTTTGTATTGTCTTGCAATTGGACTGATCTTTTCTGCGATTCCCTTCACGTATGGGATCGTCAAAAAAGAAAAGGTATCTACCTCAAATCGTTCTGCTGTAGCTTTCAGTTTCCAATTTGATAATGTTTTGTCAATACATTTGTGAGTGTAATCTTTATGAAGCAAAACTTCTATATCAAGTGTGCTTAGTCACTGCATATTTAGATTGCTCTTTTGCAGTTTGTTTTTATGATTCCTACGTTAGTTGCTTCAGAATGGTTAGAGTCGAAATTTAAAAACTGTCCGGTATGTGTTTCCTATATAAACGGGTTCTGATAGAACCATTATTTCTACTTACTAGGGCATCTAGAAACGATAGGCAGCCGTTTTTTATCTTTCTCACGGCCAAATTTAATCGACGGTCACAAAGAATTAAAATGATCGAGCAAGGAATCTAGCAGATGATGAAGGTATCGTCAAAATATCGAAGACAGACCCAAGGTTTGACGATATAGCGTGAGTCTCAAACATCCATCTAACCATGCAGTCCATCGGTAGGCGTAAGACTTATCTTTGATCTAAAAGTGAGAGTTATGCAGACAGCACGTAAAGAGTTTCATCACTCCATCCAGCGGTAGCGAAGTTCTGTCTGGAAGTTGCTATGTAAACTTTCAACGTCAATGCTAACAAACTTGTCTAATGGTCATAATTATATATCATATAAAAAATATTTTCAAAATGTCCAGAGTTCTTTGTATTGGCGAAGCCAGATGATAGAATGATAAAACACTTCCAGACATTAAATTAAATTGGTCCTATTTTGTATTGAAACCTCTTAAGAAGTGACAGCAGCCCACTAGATTTTTTTAACTAATACGTTTTTTGCGGGAGACAACAGTTTTTAAATAATTTTATAATAGAAACACTTCCATTGTATTGCTTTGTTCTATCTATTTTCGTTTTTATAAATATATTTAGAGCGATTTGCTAATGGTTTATTGCTGACAAAAGCGTTACATAACAAACTATCATCTCATTTAAAAGAGAATCACCCTTTTAAGTTCTTTGCATTAGTTTTATAACACTCCTAGTCGATAAGATTCGAAACAACGTTATTATCCTATAAGCATTACCTGGCCGAAGTCGGATTCTTGAGGATGGTTGGGTGGAGGTTGACTGAAAACGTACCGTGATATCGTCAACTGGGACTGGGAACCCCGGGTATTTCGCAGTTTTGGACGAACTTATCTTTGATAAGATATTTTAAGTGACCCTGACGTAGGCATACCTAATCACTGATGACAGCGTAATAGTTTTAGATTGAAGGTGATAAAATGGGTTGACAGTAGCCTGTAACAAAATTGCATGTGTTGCAGTAATTACTATGCAGGTTGCAATAATTTCTGCAATACGATCCGTGTTCGAGACTAATGTCGACCTCTTTTTTCGCAACTGTCGCTTTTTTTCGTTTAGGCGCGTCGTTTTGTGCGAATATTCAGCGAAACTTGGTTAGTTTACGCTACATGCGGTCGCGTTTCTGAAAATGAAACAATACATTAGTTGTTGCTATTATTATGGATAGTCTAATTAAGGACGAGCAGTTTTTAACTAGTAACCTCTGCTTGGCTTCCCGTATAATTTCCGTCATCGTCCTGTTTTTCGAAAACAAATTTCTTGGGATATCCCAGGCAGTCAAGTACGATTTTTTAATTGCCGAGTGCAAAAATCGATAAATTATACTTTTCATAATTAAAACTCCAAATATATCAAATTGGCAAAACATAATAATAACAAACGGAATGAAAGGGAGCTTATGTAAAATGAACTGGAAAATTTCGTCTAGATAGCATTTCTGATACTGTATAAAACAAAATATGTATAAAATCTAAGTATAAAGATGCCTTGGTACTTACCACAAGAAACTAATTAGGTCGCGACCCCACTCGAAAGTAACGTTGGTACGTATTAACTTCGTCCTCTTTTCCGCAGCGCACTCCTGTTTTTTATTAGCAGGCCTTTTTTACGGAATAAAAAACTTCGTAAAGAAAATGGATCGCGAGTTGTACATTAACTAGTTTTTAATTTTATTAACACCAGGATTAAAACATACATGATAGCGACTTTTAAAAAATTCATTAAAACTGTTGCGAGGGTTGTAATGGGAATTTGCCACAATTTTAGTTGTTGCTTAATAATTTCTTATAATTTCCCATTACAAATGTATAATAAGAAATGAGGCTTGAACCCACTCTTACCAAGGCAGTATTAAAACATATGCAATTATAACAAAAAATGAAGCAAATTTAAAATTTTCAGAAGAAACAGAACAAGGCCAGGCAAGAGGCAGCTCAAATTTTTATTTTTACCATATATATTGTTCTCATTTTTCTTGAGAGACTGCATTACAAGTGTAGGACACTTGATTTTGGTAATAAAAATGGAAGCCGCAAAGTAGGCTTAACGCTAATAATCATCAACTTTGGTTGTGCATTTGTATTGCACATCTTTTTATAGTGCGCAGCAGAATATGACTTAAAATTTTATTTCTCTAATATTTTTATTATCGCAAGTCAGTACAAACATCTGCGCCAGCCTTGTCTGAAAACAATATCAATTTGGCATTGCTTTATGAATTTGGTCATAATTTCCGCTAGAGAAAAGTCTTGAAACTGTTTTCTCCGCCATAAATGTGGTAAATTTATTTCGACATTGGTCAAAAATAACCATATGAATTAAATCCGAATGTCGGAATACGTTTTTTATAGGTCGTCGTTTAGCAATATCGATTTACAGAGACTAAGCTCCCAAAATCCATACTGGAGCCAAACATTTAATTTGGTTGTTGGGTATCGTGAACTGAGCGGCACAAAAGCGATATTACTTTGTTCGTAACGTTAAAATCTCCCATCGAAATTTCCTTAAAATGAGCGATTTCACTGAAAATTTGAACTAAGGATTGGGTTTAAAAAAAGAGTGCAATTTGAACTGCCTTCGTATTTAGTCAAGGACAAAATCATTGACAAATATTACAACTAAAAAACCTGCTCGTGTGACAAAAATGTCTACAATCCTTTGGCCAAATAATACCAAAAATTGATTGATTGAAGGGGATATCGTAATTCTCGAAAACTGATACAAAAGCAACAAACTTAGTCTGGGTGTCAATAAAACGAAAAACATGAACTTTTCGTAAGATAAAAATCATCTGCCAAATTTGGATAACTTAACAGTGAATGATAATATTACTGTCCCTGACAGGTATTCTATAAAATATATCGGTATTACTTTAGACAGTTTGCTTAGATGGGATTTACACATTGCAAATGTAGTTTATTTACTTAGAGGGTTACTATCTACATTTTACTTCTTAAGAGACCTCCTAACAATACAACAATTAAAAACTATGTATACGCGCTGAATACAAACGCACCTATCATATGGCATCCTGGACTGGGGATGGAGTTTCAGAAAACCATGTTAAAAACCTTAAAACTCTGCAAAAATGGTTTATGAAAATAATATTTCGCAAACAAAATAATAATATAAAAAAATAATAAAATAAATTAACAATAAAATAATACCAAACAAATTTGCTGTTTCAGGAGCGGCCTGTTGGATATATAGAAGCTGTATTGTCTATTGGAATTAAATGATAGAAATAGAAATAGAAACCCGGAGTGGCGGCGGGTTCTGATGCACAACACAATGCTTAAAACGATTCAACGATCTGCGACTCGCTATATCAACCACAAAACAACCAATCAAAAATAAACTATATGAGCCACTCAAAATCCGACCTAACCAGTGCTTTTAGAAAGCCAGACAGATTATCTTCGCCGGTTCGCGTTCCTTCCACTTCGGAAAAAATACCAAAGTATGTTCCCACAAGTCCACATTATTTCGTATGACAGAATTATAACTCTTTAGTCTAGATCGATAAACAAAAAAAGTATCGACCACTTAAAACTAAGGGCCTAGACATATAATACAACCAAAAGTAAGTAAGTAAGTATTTTACAGTACCTTAACCTTCGCAGGACCGTGGTAAAACCCATCCCAACAGAGGTTTCTTCTGCATTAAGTAGGTATTGCCTGAGATGGACCGTAACGAATATTTGTAGAAAATTGAAACTTTTATTTGAAACGTAAATATTTTCGAATAAGTAGAAGTGTTTATTTTAACATCAGGTGATATGTATCGTTCTTAAGAGTTTAAGCTAAATTGCAATATGTTCGTATATATTACGGAGGTATTTGAATGTGATCCCTCCAGTAAGTACGTATTTATGTACCTGGTTCTCGAGCTTTGACCCTGCGAGGCTGTTTTCACTGGTGTCGAAGGGTAAGGGTAAGTACCTGTACTCTATTTATCTTACACGTAAGTTTGAAAATAATAATTTTTGTCTTGTGTGTCTGTCGATTAACAACATTCTTCTTCTTGTATTTTTGTGTTTTCTACGTAGTTCTTCGATTATTTTTTAAGACTATATTCGCGGTAAATAAAGGTGAGTTAAGAATACAGATAAATATTTATTAGAATCTTACAATTAAACATTTGTTGAAGGTTCTTTTTTTTTAAACTTAAAAATGTGGGGACCGTGGAATGAAGCAGATGTTCCCTTGTTAGAAGAAGACATGGAAAACAATGCAGAATTTGAAGACGAAATGGAGATGGTAGTCGGACCTAATGACAATTTAGAAGACGAACTACTTCAGCAAATAAAAAAACGGATCCATTTTTGTTTTGAATGTTTACAATTTTATAAGAAATTCGGAAGGAGAAGAAGGAGCAGCAATAGAAACAAGTGACATGAGCAAAGTTTCGAAGTCAACTGTAAGAAAAATTGTTGCAAATGGGATACTCAAGAGGAAAGTGAGAGAACATGCAGATCTAATTAGGCTTATAAAGTGAATTGTGTTTTAATCCTAGAAGAACTGCATAAAAAAGTACTGACAGACTTAAAAATTAGTTGTGCCAAAGAGTCGTTGCGTACGTCAAGTGCTAATGGAATCTCAAAGAATTTCGCAATGGAGGGTGGATTATTTAAATGCAATTGAACAATTTCGATAATAAAATAGGACAAACGTGGTTCGACACTCATGACACAGTAAAAAAAGGACGGTGCGATAACAGTAACAAGTGTGTACTAGACGTGCTACCTTCACATTTAAAACGCATAATAATTCTTCATGCTGGGTCCAAAAATGGTTGGGTGGAAGATGCCTTATGTTTGTCTGCCAAAAACGTCAAAGATTCAAGTGTGTATCACCATGACCGCGAAAATATTTGAGGACTGGTTTGAAAGTAAACTGTTGTCAAAGCTATCGCCAAATACTTCTTCAAATAAAGAAGAAATGAAAGAATATCTGTGCGAAAATGATTTATAGTTTCAAGAGAGCTACACGAAAAAACAACTTCTGGAATTATTAAAAATTTAAATAAGGACCACAAAATCGATTCGATAGCACAACAAAAGGGACATGAAATCTTGAGATTACCCCCGTATCACCGTATATTTAACCCAATCGAGATAATTTGGTCTGAGTTGAAAGCGCATATAAGAAGAAATAGTACTACACCAAAATTTAGTAATAGTACCATAAACGAAATTCGACAAGAGGTAACTAAAATATCGGTACAAAGGTGGCCTAACTGTGAAAAACGAGTAACAAAACAAAAAAAAATATTTATCAAGAACGATTAAGGACGGAGTTGATCATTGAACTTTATTATTATTATATTTAATATTTTGTATATTAATAATAATACTATGCAGAAATGTAATGAAATAGAACGCAATAAATTGTTACTTTGTACTATGTTTCAAGAATTGCTCGGCGAAAAAGATTGAATGCATACTTATATCCCGCTTGGAATGGTTACAGGTAAGGCACTGCTCGGCAGGGTGTTCTTTAAGGAGCTGCGGTTTTGGAGTAATAAACAGTAGGCAAAGTTATTCACGTGGTCGGACGTAGAAGCACTATATTTCTGGTTAAAGCATACAAGAAACTCAAAATTTTAAACCCTTTCATTGCCAAACAAAACAAAGGATAATTGTGACTGATAGAAAGGTTTTAAATGATCTTATTCACTTGAAGTTATTTATATCTGTACCATAGCACGACCTCGTCGTCTCTTAGTTCTGATGGTATCTGTTAAGCTTTTGATACGTTCCATGGATATAGTAATCTTTATCTTTCGTTCTCGGGGTTGTAGATTGTACTATTATAGTATTGATTTTTCTAAAATAAGCGTCGTGATTATAAAAAAAAATTAAATTAAAACCCCAGGATTTCATGCACCATTCTAACAATCATCGAAGACTGAAGATATAGTTCTAGTTTCAAGACTACTCTCTCTCTTTATTTTGTCACGAATGGACGCTTGGTATCGGTTTTTATATTTTCCAAGACCCTGTATTTTCGCGTTTGAATTTGTCTCGGCCTTGCCGACAAAAGAGACCGTACCGTCGGCAACTCGTCGCAAAGGGTGAAGCAAAACCTATTTTTCTTGTGCTCGAAACAAACAATGCCCCAAACTGCTCATAGTTCACGATTAAAGCACCAGCTAAACAAACCAGAACTAACCACTGATGCCTCTGTCCGCACCGAACAATCCCATTAGCCCTAAAGACTTTCGCAAATCTTTTGGGCAACGTTGCCACCCGCGTCGGTCTTCCAGCGAGCGAGCCGTCCACGTCGACGAAACTTGACAACGTGGGACGCGGCGCCGTCGTCGTAAAGATCGATTTTCCGGCGACGGAGTGCGCCAGCGTCGTCGGGTCTACAAATTTACAAACTACATTTGGTCGCCGCTAGTAGTAACTTACACATATCCGTTTTGAATCTTTACTAGTGGCCCACTTCAATCAGTTTTTTGCGACTGTTTTCAGTACCATCCCATCGGGGGGTAAGATGGAAGAATGGACGTTCGACGCCCGCAAGATCTCGGGCTAGATTCAACTAATATGTCTGTTCCGTGGTGTTTATGATATCGGACGTGAAATGATACTGAGGCAAGGGGGCGCCGGTCCCCCCTGGTTAGTGACTGTTTTCGTGTGTATTTATTTGGTGATCGTTTGTTCAGACATGGTCGCCGCTGATAAAAGCAAGTCTTGTAAGTAAATGAAAATTACGTTTTATAATTAATATATTTTGGTCTCAAAATCAACCTATTTTTTTGAAATTCTGTTCGGAAATTTTGGGATCCGTTTTTCTTGTAAGTACAGTGCAGGCTCTTTAATCAAAAATAAATAAAGCAATGCGATATTTTTACCGTTTGTATGTTACTAAGACAGCAAAATAAAAACAATTAAAACGAAGGTTATCAGCAAATAATAATAATAATAATAATAATAATAACAATAATTATATAAATACTTTTTTATTCAACAATTCCAGTAGACAAACTTTGGTTTTTAGTTTTGTAAAACAGTTTTGGTGAACAAAATGGGAAAATATATAAGCTAATCGGAATTTCTTTAGATTTATATGTGTTACAGAAAGCGGAATAATGACAATTAAAACCGAAATTATCGTCAAATTATAATAATAACAATTATTATTCAAATAATCCAGTATACATTGACATGTTTAACAAAAAAAACGTTCCATTAAACAACAAATATGTTTTATGTTTATATTTAAGTTAAGTAATGCATGGGCATTGAAATATAAGAATTCATTGAGTTCTAAAAAATTGAAGCGTTGTAAGGCTTATCGTATTTCTAATATTAAGATCATGAACGCGCTTGCAAATCCTTAAAATGTTCGCTACGATAATTCATTTTCAATCAGTTCGTATCTATATAAAGGTATGAAATATGATCAAACTTCACCTAGAAACAATGCGGAGACATGAGTTTTTTACTGTTTTTATTGGTATTCTACTCTCTAGATCCATGCAATTCTTTCGCAAGCTCTTGCTTAAAATATCTCAGTTATGGTAGAGTGTGTTTAGAAAATTGATTTTAAGTGTTCCTTAAATCGAAGGTGAACATCCAGATTCTTGGCTACATTTTTTGAAATTTTGAACATATAAACTTTTAGAATTGTATCAGTGAAACATTGACACATTTATAAATATCATCGCGAAGTCTGACAACATTGCTTTTAGCATTTTTGGATTCTACATGTTCAAAAACCCCCATGTATTGAACTTTATCGTTCCAGGTTTGGCAGTTTTGGAGATATTTAAGCGTCCCCGTATTTTTTATTAACCCTTTTTAGATATTTACAATTGACAATTGAACAGAAAGATTTAATACAATACGCCAAATGATGTTTAACGAAATATTTAAACAAATTAAAATATTTCCGACATAGACCAAGTAATAGACGCTACTAAGTAATTAATTTAAATAACTTTCCTACGTGTCAGTCTTACTTATTTGCAACAATAACGCGAACTCGAACATCAAGAAATTACATAACAAAGGGCCACCCTGTATAGTAACTACTCTTGCAGAGAATATTTAATATATTTTTCACGCAAAATTCCTAGACCGCTTAAGGAAACAAAGTTTTGCAAATTTTTGTGAGATATGAAACAAGACTTTAATCTCAGTTAAAAAAAATATGGAGATTTGAAGAAAGGGAAAGAAAGGAAAATGCTAATTTTATCTAAAAAATTAGTCCTTAAAATCCCCGTGCTGAATTTTGAATTGTCATATAATTGTAGAGCAAGAGTTGGTTCTAAGCAGGGTCGGTGATAAAAAATTCGCTGCTGTCTATTCTAAATAAATAAACGGGAGCCATTTTTATTTCCACGATAATGGTGCGTCTCTCTAATAAGAAAGGCATCAGGCAACAAATTTTTAAGGGAGCCCGAACACAACCACATGAAAATTTATTGCCAGTTTCTGACTTCGTTGAAAATTTATGAAGACAGATCTGAAATTTTCCCGTCCGAGTCTATATGTATGCTAATGTCGCCCGAGGAGACACTTTAAATGTTTGTTTGCCGCGAGTGAAGAGGAAAATGGGAAAGATCTGTTTTTGTCGCCAGGAGATTTTCGAATTTCGGGTTAAGTAGGTTACATCTAGGATCGTATTACAGATATTATCAAAATATTATTTAATTTTAAAAAAATAATTTCGCAACTAGTACATTATTAGCCAAATCCACCCAGTTTAAGTCGGTTTTGATTGCATTTAACTTGGCCTGTCGGTGTATTTTTTTTTGAAAATTCTCCATTATTTAACAGAAAATGAAAAGTTCAAATAATAGCGAGAATTGAAGATGGGTGGTGAAAGAGCAAAAACACTATTTCAAGAATTAAAAAACGTTCGAATTAAGAGGAGTTTTGAGAAGAACAGTGGGTTTTCAAGACTATACAGGATTTCTTTGGTTTCAACCAACCGCCAGCAGAAGAGTCACAGAAAAAATACGTAGATGCGAAAAAATGATATTTACAGAAGTAGGGACGGCAAAACACGATTCAAACATTAGTGATTTTGCTTTTTGAACTGGTCGATTTTCAGTAAATGTATGGGGTTGGATAAGAACTTTTGCGATTGAGTGTTCTGAAAGATCTCATGGAGAAATATGTACAAATAACTCATTCATCTTTCAGCCCAGTTACTGCCCGGTCCATACCGCGAATGGTGCGAGGGAATGGTTTCATCGTATTAATATTAAAGTCTTGCTATGGCCCGCCTACAGTCTCGATATTACTCCCATGGAAAATGTTTGGGGTCTAACTGTGGAACCAATACATAAAAGAAATTTTAGCGCAAACAATCCTATTGAATTATGTGATCTTATTTACTGGAACGGGAAGAACTTAACCAAATATTATAGTGAAATGGTGAGTGAAATTGTTTCAAACAGGCTACAAGAATGATCATAAATAGACCAAATATTAAATTAATATAATTTTATTATAAAACTTTTACAATTACTCGTTATTAAAATGTATGAAGGACACCACAAACAACTTCATCGTATATAAGAATTACGAATTATAAAAATTTCATCAGGTTTTCTACAATAAAACTGTGCATTTAATAAGCCTAAACGTAAATTAATTATTCTCACAAATCGTCAAAACTATCGTAGTCAAACTAAAACCACGTTGACAGTTAACTTAAACTGTCAATTCTTAACTAATGGTGTGGCTACACTATTTACATATGCTTGGAATGTGGTTTAGTTGCTATATAGCTATTTCGTATTACTTGCTCTTTCTCTAATTTATGGTAATTTGTTTGGTAATTGAAATTGCTAAAAATTACCATTATTTACCGACGCTGCTGGTGATTTGAGAGAAAGTTTAACAAGGAACATTATATGACTGCAATATCCCGGAAATGTCGGAAGTGACTCGTATCCGTGAATCTCACGTGGTAAAGTGGCGCTGTATAATTAGGCATTTTACGGAAGGGAGTAGAAAAAAGTTATTTACGAGTGCCGACTACAGCTTAATCCAAATAGTCGAATCAAAAATAGTCACATGACCAACTAAATGAAATTTTTATTTACATATTAGTTATAGTATTACTTATACTTTCATATGTTCCTAAAATTTTGAGGATATTGACTTCAAAGAATAATCAAAACTATGAAGATTTCTTGCATCCCTTTCTAAAACTCTATCGTATATAAGAATTATGAATTGATAAAATTTCCACACTTTTTGGACAATAAATCGGTCACAACTGTGCATGTGATAACCTTAAATAGAACTTATTGAGTTTGTTCTTTTCTAATTTATGGAAAAACAATATTCTTTGTCTGATAATTCCAGTGAATAAAAACTACCATTAAAATAATAAGAAATAAATAATTCTTGGGTGATTTCAACACATCACCGAAAGATTATTCCAGGACGGTTTTTACGCATCCTGCATATTTAATTTTGCCCCATTTTATCTCTACTGCTGGAATCACCATTCAAACCACTCAAATTTAGCGATCCTTTATTTTTGTGTTCTGCGCCAGACAATACTAAAAAGATTATTTCGATCAATCCAAATTATCCGCGTCTGCGGATACAAATCTGAATTGCTAAGTTCGCCAGAGTTATACGAAAATTAAACCCTAGGCGATATCGCTATTTGACACTGAACCTTACTTGGGAAATCAATTATCATCAAGATCAAATACCCGCGATAACTTAGTCGTCGGGGGCGGCGAATGCGGTTTAAATTCGGCATTGGTTTTGCCAAAACGAAACCATTATGTTGCTGCGTCATCAGTCATTTATTCGACCATTAGTAAAATGCGAACTTTATCGGTAAATAAATTGTGATCCAGATTCCCATAAAAAAATCAATCTATCAAAATATTTAATTTTTCAATGCGAAAATAGTTATTTGCAAAAATTTTTTTTAGTGTTCTCTATTTTTTTTTACTGAAAATGACCTTTTTATAAATCAAAATGGCTTGGCATAGTTTCAGTTTATTTTTTTATGGAATAGTGGTTCATGTGGCACTTTATTTTCAAGGCCTTATATCCCTAATTGAACTTTTGATTTGATTAGTGGCCAGCAGTTTTGCTTTTTAGGTACCGTAGCTTTCGTCGGTAAGTAATTAAAGAAATCACCAACATGGTAATAATAGTGGTAATAATAAAATGAACTAGTCGAGTGTGTTCAAAATCGATGATAAAATTTAGTATAAAAAACCTTTCAAAATATACAAAAAATTATCCGAAACTATGACTTAGGGAAATATCATTTTCAGTAAAATAAATTAGAGAATTGTCTCATTTCATACCACCGCCAAAAAAGAAATAGAGCATTGCTGAAGAAAACAGAAATTCGTAAAATAAATAAGACAGACAGATACGATCTTGTCTTGAAAAAAGGTATAAACTTTTCCTGCTGTCAGTTTTGACTGAATGAATGAATAATCAAAAGCAATTTTCTGTTTTTCGCATCTCCAAGCAAAAACAACGGTTTAAAATTTGATAAACTATTTTGAAAATGAAAGGCAAAGTGGAAATATATATAACACTGAAAATATTCCCAATAATAATGTGACAAGCTACCACATCCGTCTGCTACGCAAAGCACCAGCCTCGTCAAGTTCTAAAACTGAAATCCAAGAATATTTTGAATTACTTTAAGTCCCAGTGTTTTAATTTGATAAAAAAATGCAATTAATAACATATC